ACACATCATACCATTAAAAAATGACAATCTTACGAGATCAAGCTAAAAGTGGTTGTGAGTGGGAGACTGTACTAATAGGTGGGAAATAACTTAAGAATACTAAATCATACAATAGTAATAAGTAAGTCAAACAGAAGTTTACAATAAAAGGTATATGAATTTACATATAATACTTAATAGTTATCCAATAGGAATATATGGGATAATAATCCATAAACGATTGCTAGCAGTTACCATTTATTTATTCTTCGTTAAGATATAGCACAATCCATATTATTCTACTTTGTTAATATCTTGGTAAACCTTGTAATTACCTTAAATTATTACTTAGTAGTCTGAACCAAGTTTGTCCTTGCACATAAAAAGTAATACTTTAAAGATGTTTATCCTCATTAAGTGTTTAAATGGTCATATTTACTTTGAGAAAATGATATTGACAGAGTAATAAGAGAGGAAGAAGATAGAGTTGGCATGAAAAGTGTGATGTATTTCGAGTTATAAGTTTCGAACGATATGGTCACAAATAAACTTCTTAAGGCACTTATATTTGAAAACTAGTGGTCAATTAAATAGGTCAGTCAGTTACAATGTACAACCTGGTACGAATGTACACCGGTTTATATTACCATACGCCATTAGCATAGAGAGATAAAATTTTCAGACCAAATCTCAGAATAGTAGAAGCAATAATAGTATGAGTGGCAACGGGAAGATGCAATCCGATAAAATAAAAATTCATGAAATAATGACACAAAAAAGAAGTCATAAGGAATTCAGGGACTCATAATTTCGAGGAGAGACCAATCATATAAAATGTCGAATAAAACAAAAGCGTTAATTGAAAATATAAGAGGGAAGAAGATGGTGCAATATGAAAATAATAAGAAGTTTTTACAGCCTCCTGTGTATTTGAAATAGATCAAAGATTCTCTCCCACGAAGTGCAAAATGTTACTTCAGGATTGGGTTGCATCGACACCTGAACTAATGATAGGGAGTGAAGTAGTTGAACGTGTTGACTGCTTCACTTATCTTGGGAGTCTCATCAGCCCTTGTGGTCTGGTGTTTGACGAAATCTCAGCACGGATACAAAAGGCTCGTCTAGCTTTCGCCAACTTGCGTCATTTATGGCGTAGGCGAGATATCCGTCTAGCAACAAAAGGACGGGTTTACTGTGCAGCAGCTCGTTCCGCCCTACTTTATGGCAGTGAAACATGGTCGATAAGAGTAGAAGATATTCGTAGGCTACTAGTATTCGATCATAGGTGTCTTCGAAGCATTGCTCGTATATCCTGGGACCACCGGGTAAGTAATGCAGATGTTAGGAAACGGGTACTAGGTAAGGATGGCAAATCGATTGATGAAGTAGTGAAACTTGATCAGTTGAGATGGCTGGGACATGTGTTACGTATGCCCAACCACCGACTGCCCCGACGTGCAATGCTTTATTGTGTAGGAGCACGTTGGAAGAAAGCTAGGGGCAGCCAGACCAAAACATGGCATAAATCCATGAAGTCGGCGACAAGTGGACTGAGCCATGTTGGTAGGTGTAGACTACCTGGTTGGGATTTGCGAGATGATAGCAACCGATGACTAGAGACCTTGAATGACATGGCTCAAAATCGTTTGCAATGGCGAAGGTGCATCCACTTTTTGTGTTCTACCAAATACGTTGTAACTGACTGAGATCAAATATCAGGGTGAATTCAAAGTTACAAGTTGATTCTGTATATATTAAGGGAGAATTAATTTTTCGCTAATTATGCTAACGAAATTCATAAAAATGAATAGTTTCTAATCTAGGATTATTATTCACAGAAATCGAATAAAATATTTTTTTAGAAATTTCACTAGATTGTTCACAGAACTTTCAAAAGACCAAGGCTTGTCAGAGATTTGTTGGATATTAAGGAATATTAGGTAGGTTATTTAAGATAATTTGAGGTACTAGATGAATGAAAACTCTCTTATCCAAAAAATGCCTCATTAGTTGATATTCAACAGTATCTAGCACTTACAGGTAAGACATCATGCACTTTCTATAAGGTCAAAGTTTATGACTTTTTATACGATAGTGAAAGATTATAAGCACTTAATTGAGCAAGTGTTGATGGACGTCACAGAAGATTGGACAATGAGAACAAATTGATTGAGGGAATGGCTTGTCACCATGTGACTACTATACTAATGTCTAAATACATAAAATTTCACTAATACACCGAAGCCTTCATAACAAACCGCATTACATGACAATATCATACGTGACGGAAATGATTTGTCACATTTACTAATGAATGAACTGAATCGGAGAATTATTAACAAAGGATAACTTATTTTTGTATTTTTACCATTGTTAGTGTTAAGGTCTGTAATTGACCAGTCCCTCCTAACATATCCCCATCCTGAGGGGACTGCTTTAATATTACCAACCAATAATAGGTTTTCCTTATCAAAGTTGGATATTGGATAACACAGCGTTTCAAGTGAAAGGTATCAGATTCAAGTCCCAGGATAAACATTAACACTGGAATGTACGTACATCCAGTTGATTAAATACAAATAGAATGAAATGTGAGTCATGGATTTCATTGCTAACCATTAACTATATCCAATAAAAATCAGATAGTTACAGTAATACAATTTCTGTTTCACTACAATCAAAGGAATCAACTAGCCAACACATTCATAAAACAATTTATCCTTATTTTCAAAATTCAACACGTTTTATTAATTACTTTAAATGAAGAAAAAAAACCCACTTCAACATAAGTAACACAAATTGAAAATAAATGAGTTTAACAGATTGGCCGGTAATGAAAGCGGTATTAACTTGACTTCAACAAGGAATACATTTTAGTTGGTGTACACAGAAGTTTTTAACAATGATAATAATAATAATAAATTAATGAGTAAAGTTAGTAAATAGAACAAATGATTTTACAAGGTGAAAACTAATCTATTAAACAATTAAGCAGTCATTGCTTCTCAATTAGTTTCAGGTATCGTCATCATCATCATAAGCACGAGAAAAACGATCAGTTGGATACATAGAAACAATTAGAATTCCGCAAATTGAATTTAATGAATAATAAAGAAATTTTGGGAGAAGGTTTATTTAGGTCAGCTTGAAATCAGTAGGTGAATCAATATAATTTTGTAGTTGAATTCATGAGTCAATTGAAGCTAGACCACCTTCGAAAATCTAGAAGCATTAGACAGCCATTTCGTCCTGTCATGGGACTCCTCAGCAGTGCGCATCCACTCATGAATTCAATTATAAAATTACTAAAATCTCCACAAACCCCTTCTGAATCAATATAAATCCTACTTACCAATCTATACGGAAAAGGATAGCTGATTACATGATTAAAAGGTTAGTAAGATAAGGCAGAGAACTATGTAAATCATAGCTACGTTTCATAATCGAAAATTTAAACAAAACGATCACACTACATTCGCATTTACTATGAATGAATCAATGATCAGCGCAGTCCTTCCAAATCAAACTTATTTGTGGCAAAGGCAATCAATCAATCAATCAATGAATAAAGAAACCCATTTAAAAGCTGAATGTTATAATTATAACCCACAATAAATTTAATGTTCACTAATTGTAGATAAGCGATATGATTTTAATTTGGTGAGTAACTTTTATAAAACACCTATTAAATGAGACAACAAATGTTAGCAGTTTGACTAAACTCATATTTTAATTTAAAGCAATTAGTCCCTTTGAAAAATTTCGATAATGCAATGAGAAGATGAAGATTATCGGAACTATGTGATATATTAGCGCAATACATTTCGAACAATCTGATCACATATATACTTTTTAAAAATATTTATATATAAAGGGTCAACTAGACTGGAAATGGGGGGGGTAAGATGCAAACGTTTACCATTTTCAACACTCAGGATAATAAGCTAATTTTACCAGGGTAGGTTTAAGGTGAGGACAAACTGTTTTCGAATACACAAAGGGGGTTTGAATTTTCGTACGGCTAGGGCTTCAACAAACCTTAGTATACGCCCTTTAACACTTTTATACAACCCCACAAAAGTCAAGTTAAGATAATCTTATGGTTTGTCTCAATTATATGTTTGGCAATAGAAGATGAGGAATGTTTATCCTCTACTCTTATTAAGTCATTTGATTTTATTTGTGTCTGCAACCATTTAGGTACATGTTCACACACTCTAATTTTGAGATCAACATTACTCTTCCCTATGTATATATGACCACACACATTTAAATTGGTAAACACAGTGGGACGTAATACAATCGTTTTCATGTCTTAGGTTTTGAATGAAGCATGGACCTCGTTCTTTTTGTGATAATAACCTTTGCTGCATAATACGTTTTGTTGATGACTGATTTAACCCTTTGTTTCAATAAAAGGTTATTTGGATCACCTCTAAATGGTAGGGTGATGTAGACAGGCTTTTTTTCGCCAAGGGGAACCAGTGAGGCAATAATGTTAAAGTTGATAGTGTTTGCCACAAATGACTTGTTCATACCACTTATCTATTGAAAAGGATTTTGTTGGTCTATGAAGAACAAAAATGGAGATAGTGGACGAAACGCGCTTCTCAGACTCCACTGTCAGCCACCATTCATCTTTGCTAATAATGATTAGTCAATTAATAAGACATATATGGTAAGCTTGCTTATAATCCTAATGTTGTTATAGCAACACTACTATTTCCAAGTCAGATAGTATTACAAGGTGTCATAAAGTAATGTATCTCAAAGCGGAATCAAAGAATTCATAGTTCATTACTGAGATTATGACTAGTTTTAATGTTGAATACTTAAATGATCAATGTTACATGTAAAAATGTTGGGATTGTCTATAAAAATGTTACACTATAAATGTAGACCAATGCCTATAAGATTATTATTTTGAGTCTTTTTTCTATGTAATAAGAAATATGATCATGTACGTATCGAAATAATAGTCACAATAGATTAGTAATATAGTGAAATTATGAATAAATTACCTCATTTACAAGTGCAATAATCATATTAATACGAGAAACCAATTGATGATATCGTCCACGAAATTCTGCAGCCTATTTACGAAGAAATAAAATGAGACGGTTCTGTTAAAATCAATCGATTGAAATGGACAACACTGAAGTAAATTTAGAAGACAGTTAAATAAATTTCAAACAGTTATAAAAAGTTTTTGGAAGAGTTGGATATAGAATTTCTCAGTTTTTGTTGTTAAATCAGTAGGTAAAAACAAACTATGTAACCTAACGAAAATTAATAACATTTCAGAGACTTGAACTAATGATTTTCAATATTATGATAAAATTTCATATTTGATCACTTTGACCAGAGACCAACTCCTTATGAGACTGGACTAAATGTACTGGAGTAAGATATATTTTTCTTGGTAATAAAAACGTTTAAAGAATAGTAGCGGTAAGTAAATTACAGCTCACTCGACATCGATACTGACTTAGTATTAACGGACACTATAAACTGAAAGCAATTAAATGATCCATGCGATCGTATCTCTGTGCAATCCCCGTAAGACGCTTATCTTGCTCCTATGAATAAATGAATTATTGGTTTTACGTTCATCTATCTCTTTCCGATCACCATCATCTCCCACAACTGTTTTCTTACTACAGTAGTTAAAAAATGTCAATATCAACACCGTCCAATTCTGTCGTGCCAGCTTGATGAACAAATAAAATGAAATCACGAAAACTCAAGAAATCAAAATATTTTTGATGATGAGCAAAGTGTATTATTGGAGGAATAGAATATGACTAGATTTATTATACACATTCACCAAACCACAAAATGCTCAAAGTACGTCTAGCTAAGTAACACCAAACATCAAGTTCCGGTACATCCCATAAACTGTTGCATTGTGTTCTTCTTTTCTAATCAGACTGACAAAACTATTGAAGTTTTATTTTAATAGTTGAATTCGTGAGTTGATCTAAGCTAAACTACCATCGTGAACCTGGAATCACTGGATGTCCGTTGCGTGGGACTCGAAACCAAGATCATTGCTCTCGCGCATGAACGCTTAACCTCTAGATCACTAAACACGCGTCTAACGGTGTTAATGTCTAACTACCATCAATCCATGATTATTAATATCGAAAAAGTCTCCAAAAATTGTAGAAACTCCAAGTTCATGCATAGTCTTTGATTTTTACAAAAGAAATAATTATAAATAAGAGATATAATTACATAATTAACTATTGGATTGTCAGAATTCAGATGAATGATGAGAATCTAGAAGCCATTTGAGAAGTCATTATCACAGATATTAGGCTGTAGGATTTACATTCATACTCTACATGAAATGAATGGAATCTTACCATTGAATTGTTTGAGTCGAAACTAAATCTTTCATCGTGTAGTATTATAATCAACTTATTGCCACAATCCATGCTTTAAATGTCAAAATTAGTGATAATAATCATTTGCTCAAACTGAAGTAAGTGGATCGCAGTTCGAACCTGAAATCTATTGGCTGAAAGTCCAATGCCTTAACCACTGAGCCATAGCTTACACAAATCAAATTAAAAAGTAACATGAAAACAAACAAAATCAAAGTAAAATGGTAACCCATTTCCTGTAAATCATAATAGTGAAATATGTAAAGAAATAAAGGAAAAGAAATACAGCGGAAATAAGGCTCACAAACAAATTGTAAACAATTTCAACTATCGCTAATCAATGATAGTGTATGATAAAGGAAATAAAAATTAATTATACCATTAACTAGTCGCTAACTCATTTATATTATAACTGTGATGAGTAAAACAATGAGTTGTGCTACCAGTATGGCAGTGCAAACAATTCGTGTGGGACTTATATAACACTTACTTTTATTTGGTTTATTACCAGTCTATAATTAAACAATATGAAAAAGTTACTTCAAACTAACAACTAGGTGTTCACTTTTTCCATTTTGAGAAAAATAAATCGCTTCCGTCAAATACAATTGACTGGTATGGGGGCACGTCTAGGGTAACATGAAAAGATAGTAAAAGTCAGATTTATGAAAATTACAGACAGTCAGCTACAACGCAGAACTAGACACACATATGCATCAGTCCATGTTATTACACATCACTCATTAACACAACAAGATGAACGAAAGTAAGATTGTATATAAGGATATATTACAGGAAGAAAGAAAGATATGAAGAAATTTTAATCTCAAGGTTTAAGGGAAGATAAAGAGAGTATACACCTACGCCATTGTGATCGATTCTCAGCCATGTCACCAAGAGTCTCCAACCATTGGTTACGATATTCACGCGCACCCCAACCAAGTAGTCTGAATCTAACAACATGGTTCAGATTAGACGTTAGTGACTTTAAGCACTGATGACACATTTTGGTTTGGCCGCCCTTAACTCTCTTCCAACCATCGCCAATACTAGTCAGCTTAGCGCGTCGTCATAATCGGTGTTCAGGCATACGTAACACGTGGCCCAAACCATCTCAGTCGATGAAGATTCATGACCTCATCAACTGATTTACCATCATTCCCTAATAACCTACGTGTAATCTCATTATCACTTACCTGGTGATCCCAGCAAATGTGAGCAATATTTCTAAGACATCTGTGATCAAATACTAGTAGATTATGAGTATTTTCTACTCTTACTGGCCACATTTCGCAGCTGAAAAGTAGAACAGAACGAACTGCTGCGCATTATACTCGTCCCTTAATTGATAGACGGATATCTCGCCTTCGCCATAGGTGACGTAAGTTGGCAAAAGCCAACGCTCTCTGTGCTCACAAATGCCCTGGTACGGTCGAGAGTGGGGAGAGTTCGCTCTCCCTCTCCAAATGCTCTCACATGGCCACGCGAATATATAGCCTCTGTCAGGGAAGTCCTACAAACTGCGTTCTCGTGGCCCCGGTGTTATTTACGAAAGTGAGAGGACGAAAAGCGAATGTCTGGCGATTTAACCGGGTCGGTGGACATGGCGAGTCCACCTAGGGGAGTTGGAAAACCCTGATTCCAAACCATTGGTGTACATGGGCTCCAGTATCCTGATTTAACGAATGGTGAATGAACCTGTTGTTGGTCACCGGCTACCATGGGACTGCATCTCCTTACGATGCTCCACTGCCTTGTGGACTAGACCTTTAGGTGAAAGGCTCGGGGTGTGGCCCACTTAGAAAACCACCTGCTTCGGTTTGGGCATCCGGGCAGTATAACAGCCCACATACAAATGACATGAAATGACGCACTACACTAACTACACTGCTTTCGTTCCTAGTAGAAGAAAGACAATTTACATTATTATTATCATTATTATTATTACTATTATTATTATTATTATTACTATTATTTACTACGTCGCTTTTTCACTCCCTTTATTCCCAAATTGTGTACCCTTCCTTTCCAACTTATGCAGTAGCTCGCCCATGGTGGAAACTCTGTCCTATCTAAACGATTTCCAGTCACTGTCTGATTGAAAGTGAATGCTTCCACTGATTACGAATACTGAAGCAGTCTTTCTGAAACCACGTACGCCGTTCAAGCTGGCTTCCTTCAACGTTCGCACACTAATGCAGATCGGACAACAGATGGGACTGGCTATGTCTTTAGAAAGTCTTAATGTTGATGTTTGCTGTCTATCCGAGACCCGTATTCAAGACTCTAGTGAAGTACTACAAATTCGCTCTCCATCTGTCGCTTCGAAAAGCTTGTTTCACGTGCGCTTATCCGGGGACCCTGTGACATCTTCGTCTGGTCTTGCAGGCGTTGGTGTTGCACTAAGCGCTAGGGCTGAGGCAGCACTAATCGAATGGATCCCCATTAACAGTTGGTTATGTGCTGTTAGATTAGAAAGTTCCATCAAAGTGAGAAGAAACCGGCGTGAGAAACGGAGTCTTTTCGTCATCTCCGTCTATGCCCCGACAGATTGCAGCCCGGATGCAATCAAGGATGAGTTTTACCACCAGTTAACAGTTCTTCTCCAGAAAGCGCGTTCGACAGATATTGTAGTATTAGCCGGAGACTTGAATGCTCAGGTCGGGCGTCTAGGCACAGAAGAGAGTCGTTTAGGTGGCCGATGGGGACTTGTTGGTCGCAGGACAGATAACGCGGACCGTTTGCTGCAACTGTGCACAGACCACAACCTGTTTCTGGCTAACACTAACTTCCGGCACAGTCATCGCCGGTGTGCCACCTGGCGTCCTCCCTCTGCATCTCAAGCCTGGACTCAGACTGATCACATCGCGATCAGCTACCGCTGGCGTGGTTGTGTACACGACTGTCGCTCCTTTTGGAGTACCTAACTGGAGTCTGATCATGCCCTCGTCTGCGCCAATCTCACCTTACTTTTCAGTGGCCGAAGGATTGACCACCACCAACGGATCGATGTTAGTAAACTGGCTGCAACATCTGTTGCAAGTAAGTATCGAGCGGAGCTAGCTTCTAGGCTAGCTACCATCCCACTGAAAAGTATAAATGAGCATTGGTTGCATCTTCACGACGCCATGAAAATGGCGAGTAAAGCCGCTTGCGGCTTTGCGAAACGTCCCGCTTACAAGCACTGGGTTTCTTCTGGCTCCTTACAATTGATCGAAGCCCGTCGGTCTACTCCGGGTGACCGTGAGTTTGACCACAAATGAAGGCTGTTACGTAATGAAATCGGGCAAAGCTTGCGTAAGGACCGAGAAGCCTGGTGGTCGGAGCGTGCTAATGAGATGGAAGCAGCAGCTGCATCTGGTAACTGTCGGAAGCTCTTCCAACTCATCAGGCCACTGGCAGCAAGAAGTCTGGTGTCAGTGAAACAATCTCCGAGGATGACGGGATGCCAATCACTAATATCTCTTGACGTCTTGGATGATGGGCGGAATTTTTCGAAGGGCAGTTCAACTGGCCTGCTGCTCAGGCAACATCAACCAGTTTGTCCTGCCCCCCATGGACGGTGACGACTGATCCACCAAACAAGGCGGAAGTCCGCAAGGAACTCCAACTCTTGAAGCGCTACAAATCACCGGGCCCCGATGACTTACCTCCGGCTCTTTTTGAAGATGGTGGTGACTTTCTGGCTAAGGAACTGACGGTGTTGTTTGCAAAGGTTTAAGAGCAAGAAAGTGTTCCAACATCATGGAATTAGTCAATAGTCGTCCCTATCTTTAAAAAGGGTTCACGTTGTTCCTGTAACAACTATCGGGGGATAAGTCTACTTCCGATTGCGTCCAAACTATTGGCTTCTGTCATTCTTCGTAGGTTGTTTAAAACCCGAGAACGATTGACTCGCGAGGAGCAGGCTGGTTTTCGTTCTGGTCGAGGATGTATTGATCACATCTTCACCCTCCGCCAAATGTTGAAACACCGTCATACTTATCGCAGGCCAACAATCGTAGTGTTTTTTGATATCAGGGCTGCCTTCAATTCGTTGGACAGGACTGTTCTCTGGGATTGTCTATTGAAGAAGGGTGTGTCTGAGACGTTTATCAACATCTTAAAGGTCCTGTATACGAACACCTCAGGCAGAGTGAGGGCATACAACCACCTTTCTCCCTTGTTCCATTCGAGCAGTGGGGTTAGGCAGGGTTGCCCGATCTCACCATTCCTCTTCAACTTTGCCATCGACGACATCCTGGAAACAGCTCTGATGGATGTAAGTAATGGCGGTGTGGATATGTTGCCTGGAGAACGACCTCGACCTCGAGTATGCGGATGATATTGTCTTACTGTGCGATAATGCCCAAGGCATGCGATCCGCACTTAATCAGTTGGCAATCAGTGTCCTCAGGTACGGCATGTGCTTTGCACCCTCCAAGTGCAAAGTACTCCTACAAGACTGGCAGGATTCTCATCCTGTACTCACCCTGGATGGTGAGCAGATTGAAGTAGTTGAAAAGTTCGTGTATCTAGGTAGCTATATAAGTGCTGGTGGAGGCGTGAGTGATGAGATTGATGCACGTATAAGGAAAACCAGAGCGGCTTATGCCAATCTGGGCCATCTTTGGCGCCTTCGTGATGTTAGTCTGGCTGTAAAAGGTCGGATCTACAACGCGTCGGTGAGAGCAGTTTTGCTCTATGCTTGTGAAACCTGGCCTATCCGAGTTGAGGATGTTAGACGTCTTTCTGTGTTCGATCATCGTTGTCTCCGAAGGATTGCTGACATACAGTGGCAACACCATGTTAGTAATGCAGAGGTTCGGCATCGTGTGTTCGGGCGCAGAGACGATAATTCAATTGGTGTCACCATCTTGAAACATGTTTTACGAATGTCGTCCCAGAGAATTCCACGTCGTGCATTATTTGCCGACTCTGGGACTGATTGGAAAAGGCGGAGAGGAGGTCAGTGTATGACATGGTGTCGTGGCATGAAGGAAAGCTGAAAAGGGCTAGCTTCTGTTGGTCTTTCACGACTCCCTGGCTGGGGTCCTAGAGATGGTGCAACACAGTGGCTAGAGACGTTATCAGACATGGCTCAGAATAGAAGCCAGTGGCGATCCTGCTGCAACCTTCTTTTACTTTCTACATAAAGAGTGGTTCTAACTTTCTTAACTGAAAGAGTCTTCTGGTTGTACATTTCAGTCCGCCTTATCTTTTCATCCCTTCTCTTCCTACTTTCATTATTTTGTGTGGCGCATATGTATCTGGTGCCCTTTTGTACCAATATATGTGTTTAAATAAATAAAAATAAGTAACGCTCTCTGTTCTAAAAACACAAACATGTGAAAACAGGTGATGGTTCTGTGATGAAAAGTATTGTACAACAGAAAACAATGAACTAAAGTTAGAAAGGTTACATCTAAAAAGACAGTCATATTTGAATTTTGTACTGAGAAGAAAACAAGAAGCTTATTATTAGTGGGAACATTGAAACTGAATTTCATCATGGAACAAAACACACCAGTATGAATAAATTATTTTATTAAAAAAATTTCCCACTAGTTAAATGTCACTGAGTCATTTATTTTATCTGAAACTGTATTCAGGTAATCATTTAGTGAAAATATCAATCATCTTACCATAGTTTCGTCCACAACCATAAACAACTCCACTACATATGTTTGCGATTCATCGGGACGATGGAAAACATGTACTGTATCCAAAATCGACTAGTATTTACAAAGAGAAATAAATCGTAGCAAAGAATGTGAATAACTCTCATTGTAGTGAAAAGATTTACATATCGTCAAGTACACACGTTTGCTTTTAAATATTTGGTGTATCAAATTCATAGAGAACCTAAGACGCATGTATATAAGGTTGAGAATAATTACAGTAAATCGTTACCCATTATTTTGAAATCAATAAAAGCTGGTTGTACTGATTGCCATTTGAATAAGTATACCATGGAAAAATATACTTTTCTAATGAGCATACTATTCCATAGTTGTTTCAACTATATAACTCTTGAATATATTTTATGAAACTGACGTTACATCTACTATGGGAACTTTCATACTTTCAATTTTAACGTACCTGTTCCATGTAAAATACCTTGATCTCTTGTAGGCGCGATCTATCACGGTTAGGCACTATTCAGTTTTCTATTGGCGCAAATGATGTCGTCAGATATAAGTAGGATGTTACATCAATAGAAAGTGAAATGCCTTACGGTAGAAGGTTGAGAAAATCGAAAGGAGAACAAGAACAGAGAGTGATCGGTATGGAAACTAAGGGACAACAAAGTTTGAAGCTACTGATGGATATTTTGCAAATGAAGTATCACTGTATGGTTGTCAGATTTTACCAAGATATTCTGTAATGTTGCGTTAAAATACATTTGGTTGTCCCCACTGTTCACGTACACTACACTACTTACTACCAATGGTAATGCAACTAATTTTTCTTTTATCATGTTCATATGCATCAACCGTATTGCTGGTAATATACTGTAAGAGATGAGATTGATGAATGTGTCAAGTTCAACATTGGTACTGACTGATCGTATAAATAGAATCACACAATATATATATATATATATATATATATATATATATATATATATATATATTTGATTATATCGTCCACAGTAAAATGTGAAAGCACTGGACGGCCGTTTCGTCCTATTGTGGGACTTATCAGCAGTGCACATCCACGATCTCCCCTCGCGAGATTCGAACCTAGGACCTATCAGTCTCGCGCGCGAGCGCTTAACCTCCAGACCACTGAGCCGGCATCCAATAGTGTTGATGTCTAATTCCAACCGATCCACGAAATTGAGCAACCGTCCACCATTGTCTTCAATGAGCTACTATTTCACAACACTCGGTTGAACTCGACTGGTCACTGCCTCTCACTATAACTCAAGGAAATACCTCTTGAAACCAGTCACTAGTAAGCAAATGATTATTATTAGAAGGGGTGTGGTGTGGTCTACTTATATCCATATAAGTAGTATATGGTGTGGGTCAGACATAGAATGTATTTTCGCAGAAGACCGATGAGCAAAGAACGGAAATGAAACGCAAACGTCTGGAAAATGCATGAGCAATGGAATAAGAGAAGAAACAGTGAAGATTGAAACAATTGGTTGTTAATTTGCAAATTGACTGTTCATTGTTTGGTAATCAGAATTTATTGACATAGTCTGTAATCTTTGCTCAAATACATTCGATTGTCCCCAACCAGTGTTTTGTTCACTACAGGGGTTTTGTGGAAATTTTATAGTTGAATTTATGAGTGAATGCGTACTGCTGAGGAGTCCCACAATCGAACGAAACGTTCGTGTAGAGCTCCCAGGTTTTCCATGGTGGTCTAGTTCCAACTGACTGATGAATTCAACTATAAAATAATTAAAATCTTCACAAACCTCTTCTGATCATAATAAAATGGTTGAGCAAGTGACAATGTAAGTCAAAACATATCAATATATAATATAATGTAATATTTTTGAACACGTGAGAATTGATTACTTCATATGTTTTACATGTGTTTGACTTGATAATAATAACTGAATATTGGCAACTTTTACTTTTTTTAAAATATACAATACTATACAGATACACCATACACATAAATATTAGAATACTCACAGTATTTGTCATTGATATAGAGGCTGTAATGAGAAAAGATTAGCAACACATCACTATAAGTGATAGTGAATCACTTTTAAATGAGAAAGTAATATTACCACTAATGAATTTATGAAAAAGTTAAACACTTGTGAAAATATCTTACTATTTTCCCATTATATTATTACTAAGATGTGACTTTATTTTAATTGTCAAATCGTTACAGATAAAAATAAGAGCTTCTTATACCATGATAATAAATCAACATTTACTAAGTACAGTCAGTCACCAACAATGTAGAACTTCACACATCAGATCAAGTTGCCATACCAAATTAGCACAGAGATACAATTGTCGATTTAAATCGCATAATGGTAGAGATAGTAAGATTATAAGCACTAATCCGAAAGATTAGGGTTTGAAGATGCCATTCAAGAAGTATAACCCAGTAAAATAAATTTGAAAAAAAGAAAAAAAGGACATGAAGAATTCAAAAGATCAGAATTTCGCAGAACACAAAGAGTGGATGCACCTCCGCCATTGCAAACGATTTTGAGCCATGTTCCAGACATCTCAACTGATGAAGTTTCACTACTTCATCAATCGATTTGCTATCCTAACCTAGTACGCGTTTTCTAACAACTGTATTACTGACCCGGTGGTCCCAGGATATACGAACAATGCTTCGAAGACACCTATGATCGAATACTAGTAGCCTACGAATATCTTCTACTCTTATCGGTCATGTTTCACTGCCATCAAGTAGGACGGTTACTAGACGGATATCTCGCCTACGCCATAAATGACGCAAGTTGGCGAAAGCTAGACGAGCCTTTTGTATCCGTGCTGAGATTTCGTCACACACCAAACTACAAGGGCTGATGAGACTCCCAAGATAAGTAAAGCAGTCAACACGTTCAACTACTTCACTCCCTATCATTAGTTCAGGTGTCGATGCAACCCAATCCCAAAGTAAGATTTTGCACATCGAGGGGGGAGACTCTCATCCCGAGCAGGCATGCATTTTGCTTATAGTAGTCAGGAGACTCTGCATTTTGTCAGCACCATAAGATACACCCAGGTATCTTCCCTATCGTTTGGTTTACCTACTTGACCATTAAAGTCACCAGCCACTATTACTACATCAGAACGCCTAACTTTTAGGAAGAGGTCGGAGAGCTTTCTGTAAAACTCATCTTTTACATCATCTGAGCTACGGTCAGTGGGAGAGTAGGTAGAGACGACGAAGAAGCAACGACGAGTGGCCTTGTCTACACGAGTCCTTACATTTCCGTTTGATCGGATAGCGCACAAGCGACTGTCTACTGGGATCCAGTCTAAGATAGCTAGTTCTGGACTTAATGCTATACCTACTCCAGCGAGGCCACGGGAAGCAGCATCAGGGCTTCCAGATACACGAAGCGTGAATCGAGTAGGTTCTTTATTATGACATGGTGTGGTCAAATGAATGACACTACTCGGATCCTGTATGCATGTTTCGGAGACGCAGCATACATCGATGGCGCAAGATTCTAAAGTCTTAGCTAAGGAAGCCTGTTGTCCTATTTGGCACAGTGTTCTGACGTTAACAGTTCCCACATTTAATCGAGAGTGTAGTTTCAGGAGACTGGGAATAACGTTCCGCGTATTCGAATTGTTTGCATTAACGGCGCGAAGTGATAAAGGGACGTGAGGAGGGTTAGTCGTGGAGAAAAGAGAGTTATTAAGAGGTGTAGGAAGGATTCGGTTGTGACGAACCTGGCCTCGTGTGTGTTATAGGTATGAAGGCTGATGTCACTTCCCGGTCGCCCACACCAAGGAAGGGTATTTCTTGAGGAACCTGAAGAGAAAGTTAGATTAGTGTTGGTTTTAACGACCTGTGAGCGTGACCGCAGAGCCAAGGGACAACTACTTGGGACTGGTCATGTACAGCACTTTTGTGGGAAGTTTTTAACGTGTTAGCTCTATTCTTCAAAAGGCCTTACCGCCGGAGACGGAAGCCCGTGAGGTAAGGTGTTGTGTGACATTTTTAGGGTCGATCTTTTCTAACCCCACCACTCCTTGTGGGAAAACAGCATCGCTGCAGATGCTGGTTGTCCGAAGGAAACACCTTACAGCTCTCACACCCTCCTACAGTCAGTAGTACGACTTCTCCCTCAGACCTTGGGTTACTGCTTTTAGTCTTACCGTTCTCCCATCAACCTGCATACAGGAACACACGTTCCAGCTAATATAGTTCGGTTGAGTAATCACGATAGGCAAGCCCGACCACTACGTCAAGGTAGCAGGCATGGTTGGGATTTACTAAGTACAGGTTTATTCAAACTGAGCTTCAATTACATAAGAGTTATTCATCGGCTTCTCCAACGGAATGAGATGAAACGAAGTTTGAACTAGCAAACTAATACTGATTGTAAGCTGATCACCATGATAGCTTAACTTGAAGATTAGTAGATGAGCTGCGGCTGGATAATAACTAGCTTACAACATAATTGTATTATTCGCCTTGGTCGATCACCCTAGTTAGTTTGTCCTGAATTATCTGGGAGTAAACTCAGTGAATTGAATGGTCAAAAGACGTACACAGTTAATCTTTTATTTTTGCGGTTAAATGTGCGTATTTCAGATTTTTTTAAAGTTACCTATGAAATGTTACTTCTACCTATTTATTAATATTGGCGAAAACATTTTGGTTTTCTGATAAGTCTTCTAATTGGACGCTATATTCGGTTAATAAGCTCTTAAAGTAACCTCCGGGCTAAATCTACACCGCGACTTGAACACGAGAGAAAAGTCGTGAAATATGGGAGAAGCGCTTTACTCCAAGGTTCGTTTTATAGTATTTTAGATGACCTTGGGTTTCCGGTATATTCTGGAGAAATATAGGTAACCATCCAATCAGAAACTCGACATGTAACTTTTCACTTTCCAGATGTTTCTGGCAAGACTTCTAATGAATGCTGATTGAATAAGATGCTTTTCTCTGTTTTCAGAGCTTTTGTTAGCGTTTTTTTGAAGAGTTTTCTGGATCTCCCCAATATTTTCTTATTAATTATTCCTTGTAGTTTTGTTTGTGAAATCTGGAAATATGTTAGGTCGTAACTGGTCTCTGTAACTTTCTCTTGTTTTCAAAAAAGTATCTTGTACTTTTTTGTTCCACTATTTCATTATCCCTCCTTAAGTTATATTTTTTATGCCCACTCTTTTCTACTATGATTAATACTGTTATCATATGTACTACTCTGGTATCTTACAGTATTGCTGTAGTAATGGGAATTTGAACCAATAGACATATCTCCCAGGTTCTATGTTGCATATGACTAAATGATTTAATTCAGTATTTAAATGTTATGGTTCAATACATGGTATATTTGAAGAAATTGTATTAGCTGATTATTTATAAGCGATAATACCTTGGTTTGTAAGATAAATATCACAATATGTAAATGATTTTAACGAATGGCGATGAATTCACATTTTATTTGACTATCAATTTAAAGTAAATAAAAAACTAACTAATCATTATTTATCACGAGGCCCCCAAATGCCCTGGTACGGTCGAGAGTGGGGAGAGTTCGCTCTCCCTCTCCAAATGCTCTCACATGGCCACGCGAATATATAGCCTCTGTCAGGGAAGTCCTACTCACTGCATCCTCGCGGCAGGAGTGTTGTTTACGAAATTGAGAGGACGAAAAGCGAATGTCTGGCGATTTAACCGGGTCGGTGGACATGGCGAGTCCACCTAGGGGAGTTGGAAAACCCTGATTCCAAACCATTGGTGCACATGGGCTCCACTATCCTGATTTAACGAATGGTGAATGAACCTGTTGTTGGTCACCGGCTACCATGGGACTGCATCTCCTTACGATGCTCCACTGCCTTGTGGACTAGACCTTCAGGTCAAAGGCTCGTGTTGTGGCCCACTAAGAAAACCACCTGCTTCAGTCTGGGCACCTGGGCAGTATCATAGCCCTCACACAAATCAAATGAGATTTATGAGGCGCATACTTATCTGGTGCCTTTTTGTACCAATATTTATGTGTTTAAATAAATTAAATAAATAATTTATCACGAGTAAAATAAGTCAAAATAGATCTTCAATATAGGCCACAATTTAAAATTTTATTATTATCATTATTACTTTGATTGTAAATAATTTCATAAACGAAGTATAGTAAAGTAGTTTTCCCTCAGACATTTTCTCAAATCAACAATATTGTTATGCCTTAATGTAATAAACACATGATAAGAGACGATGATGCATAAATCATGTTATGGACAGAATTAATTATATTTATTCACGTGGAATTATGAATTGTATTGTGTACTAAGATGTAATTCAACAACTATGTTACAAGTCCTCACATTTTATGCATTAATAGATTCAAATGTATATCTTCAGCTTGGAGTTGTATTGTTTGATCAAGTGTGATAATATTCAGTTGCTTAAATCAAAATATGTGGAGTGAAATCCAAGTATGCTACACAATTGATGAAGTTTAAATAAGATGAACGCTTAGCCGCTGTATGACCAGTCATTACACTATGGACTACACAGCTATTATATGGAAGTTAATGATAGCTCACCTTTTATATTCAAAGCTCATGAGGAACTACTGTAGTGAACGCTACTCATAAGGATGTTTATAAGTAGCGTGTAGCGGGACGCGCGGTCGGAGTTGCAACAATTGTCGGACAGGGTTTCAGTGCATCAATAGCACAGTGTTGGCAGGACACTTGGAGGCCAGTCAAGAAGACAGATCAGACTGCAGAACACACCACAAGATCCAAATGGATGACTAAAGACTATGTATATGTATTACGTAAAAACTCCATAACTTCTCGCGGTAGACATACCTCATGCATATTGTCTTATTTTACATTATATCGAATAAGGACGTCTAAATAATATGTTGAACTGTTCAATATGATCATAATATTTATATTCCTGACTTGTAATTAAGTTTGAAATGCTATTTCACTGATAAAACTTGTCTGCATCTGGCAGTACATAAACAGATTTAGTTTCCTCTGAGCTGGATGA